GGCTGGTGGTGGGTAGGAAGGTGGTGAAGGGTAGGGAAGGTGGTGAAGGGTAGGGAAGGTGGTGAAGGGTAGGGAAGGTGGTGAAGCGTAAGGAAGGTGGTGAAGGGTAGGGAAGGTGGTGAAAGGAAGGGAAGGTGGTGAAGGGTCAGGAAGGTGGTGAAAGGAAGGGAAGGTGGTGAAGGGTCAGGAAGGTGGTGAAAGGAAGGGAAGGTGGTGAAGAGTTGGGAAGGTGGGGCAGGGTACGGAAAGTGGGGCAGGGTAGGGAAGGTGGTGAAGGGTTGGGAAGGTGGTGAAGGGTAGGGAAGGTGGTGAAGGGTTGGGAAGGTGGTGAAGGGTAGGGAAGGTGGTGAAGGGTAGGGAAGGTGGTGAAGGGTAGGGAAGGTGGTGAAGAGTTGGGAAGGTGGGGCAGGGTAGGGAAGGTGGTGAAGGGTAGGGAAGGTGGTGAAGGGTAGGGAACTGGGGAGGGTAGGGAAGGTGGTGAAGGGTAGGGAAGGTGGTGAAGGGATGGGAAGGTGGTGAAGGGTAGGGAAGGTGGTGAAGGGTAGGGAAGGTGGTGAAGGGTAGGGAAGGTGGTGAAGGGTAGGGAAGGTGGGGCAGGGTAGGGAAGGTGGTGAAGGGTAGGGAAGGTGGTGAAGGGTAGGGAAGGTGGTGAAGGTTAGGGAAGGTGGGGCAGGGTAGGGAAGGTGATGAAGGGTAGAGAAGGTGGTGAAGGGTAGGGAAGATGGGGCAGGGAAGGGAAGGAGGTGAAGGGTAGGGAAGGTAGTGAAGGGTAGGGAAGGTGGTGTAGGGTAGGGAAGGTCGTGCAGGGTAGAGAAGGTGGTGAAGGGTAGGGAAGATGGGGTAGTGAAGGGAAGGTGGTGAAGGGTAGGGAAGGTAGTGAAAGGTAGGGAAGGTGGTAAAGGGTAGAGAAGGTGGTGAAGGGTAGGGATGGTGGTAAAGGGTAGGAAAGGTGGGGCAGGGTAGCGAAGGTGGTAAAGGGAAGAGAAGGTGGGGCAGGGTAGGGATGATAGTGAAGGGAAGGGAAGGTGGGGCATAGTAGGGTAGGTGGTGAAGGAAAGGGAAGGTGGTGACGGGTAGGAAAGGAGGGGCAGAGTAGGTCAGGTGGTGAAGGGTAGGGAAGGTGGTGAAGGGCAGGGAAGGTGGGGCAGGGTAGGGTAGGTGGGGCAGGGTAGGGAAGGTTGTGAAGGGTAGGGAAAGTGGTGAAGGGTAGGGAAGGAGGGGCAGGGTAGGGAAGGTGGTGAAGGGTAGGGAAGATATTGAAGGGTAGGGTAGGTGGGGGCAGGGTAGGGAAGGTGGTGAAGGGTTGGGAAGGTGGGGGGTGAGGGTAGGAAAGGTGGTGAAGGGTAGGGAAGGTGATGAAGGGTATGAAAGTTGGGGCAGGGAAGAGACGGTGGTGAAGGGTAGGGAAGGTGGTGAAGGGTAGGGAAGGTGGTGAAGGGTAGGGAAGGTGGTGCAGGGTATGGAAGGTGGTGAAGGGTAGGGAAGGTGGTGAAGGGTAGGGAAGGTGGTGAAGGGTAGGGAAGGTGGGGCAGGGTAGGGACGGTGATGAAGGGTAAGGAAGGTAGGGCAGGGTTGGGAAGATGGTGAAGGGTAAAGAAGGTGGTGAAGAGTAGGGAAGGTGGTGAAGGGTAGGGAAGGTGGTGAAGGGTAGGGAAGGTGCGGCAGGGTCGGGAAGGTGGTGAACTGTATTGTAGGTGGTGAAGGGTAGGGCTGTTGGAGACGGGTAGGAAAGGTGTGGCAGAGTAGGGTTGGTGGTGAAGGGTAGGGAAGGTGGTGAAGGATAGGGAAGGTAGGGCAGGGTAGGGAAGGTTGTGAAGGGTAGGGAAAGTGGTGAAGGGTAGGGAAGGAGGGGCAGGGTATGGAAGGTGGTGAAGGATAGGGAAGGTGGTGAAGAGTAGGGTAGGTGGGGCAGGGTAGGAAAGGTGATGAAGGGTGGAGAAAGGTAGGGTAGGGTAGGGAAGGTGGGGCAGGGTAGGGAAGGCTGGTGAAGGGTAAAGAAGGTGGTAAAGGGTAGTGAAGGCTGGGGGCAGGGTAGGGAAGGTGGTGAAGGGTAGGGAAGGTGGGGCAGAGTAGGAAAGGTGGTGAAAGGTAGGGAAGAGGATGAAGGGTATGAAAGGTGGGGCATGGTAGGGAAGGTGGTGAAGGGTAGGGATGGTGGTGAAGGGTAGGGAAGGTGGTGAAGGGTAGGGAAGGTGGGGCAGGGTAGGGAAGGTGGTGAAGGGTAGGAAAGGTGGTGAAGGGTTGGGAAGGTGATGAAAGGTAGGGAAGGTGGGGCAGAGAAGGAAAGGTGGGGCAAGGTAAGGAAGGTAGTGAAGGGTAAAGAAGGCGGTGAAGGGTAGGGAAATTGGTGAAGGGTAGGGAAGGTGGTGGTGGGTAGTGAAAATGGTGAAGGGTAGGGAAGGTGACTGAAGGGTAGGAAGGTGGTGAAGGGTAGGGTAGGCTACTGAAGGGTAGGGAAGGTGGGGCAGGGTAGGGAAGGTAGGGCAGGGTAGGAAGGTGGTGCAGGGTAGGGAAGGCATGAAGGGATGAGGAAGGTGGAGCAGGGTAGTGTAGGCTGGTGGTGATGAGGAAGGTGGTGCAGGGTAGGGAAGGCTACTGAAGGGTAGGGAAGGTGGGGCAGGGTAGGGAAGGGGGCTGGGTATGAGGAAGGTGGTGAAGGGTAGGGTAGGCTGGTGGTGGTAGGAAGGTGGTGGCAGGGTAGGGTAGGTGGTGAAGGGTCGGAAAGGTGGGCAGGGTAGGGTAGTGCTGACTGGTAGGGAAGGTGGTGAAGGGTAGTGTAGGTGGTGAAGGGTAGGGAAGGTGGTGAAGGGTAGGGTAGGCTACTGGTAGATGAGTTGAAGGGTAGGGAAGGAGCAGGGTAGGGTAGGTGTGGCAGGGTAGGGAAGGTGGGGCAGGGTAGGGAAGTGGGGCAGGGTAGAGGAAGGTGGTGCAGGGTAGGGTAGGCTACTGGTGATGAGGAAAGGTGGAGGCAGGGTAGGGTAGGCTACTGGTGATGAGGAAAGGTGGGCAGGGTAGTGTAGGCTACTGGTGATGGGTAGGGAAGGTGGAGCAGGGTAGTGTAGGCTACTGGTGGGTAGGAAGGTGGAGCAGGGTAGGGTAGGCTAAGGGTGATGAGGAAGGTGGAGCAGGGTAGGGTAGGGGGCTGGTGATGAGGAAGGTGGAGCAGGGTAGGGTAGGCTACTGGTGGGTAGGAAGGTGGGGCAGGGTAGGGTAGGTGGTGGTGATGAGGAAGGTGGTGCAGGGTAGGGTAGGCTACTGGTGGGTAGGAAGGTGGGTCAGGGTAGTGTAGGCTACTGGTGATGAGGAAGGTGGTGAAGGGTAGGGTAGGGTACTGGTGATGGGAAGGTGGGGCAGGGTAGGGAAGGTACTGGTGGGTAGGGAAGGTGGTGCAGGGTAGGGAAGGTGACTGGTGATGTAGGGAAGGTGGGGCAGGGTAGGGTAGGTACTGGTGGGTAGGGAAGGTGGAGCAGGGTAGGGTAGGTACTGGTGGGTAGGAAGGTGGTGCAGGGTAGTGAGGGTGGTGAAGGGTAGGGAAGGTGGTGAAGGGTAGGGAAGGTACTGGTGTATGGGAAGGTGGTGAAGGGTAGGGAAGGTGATGAATGGTAAGGAAGGTGGTGAAGGGTAGGCAAGGTGGGGCAGGGTAGGGAAGGTGGTGAAGGTTAGGGAAGGTGGGGCAGGGTAGGGAAGGCTACTGGTGATGAGGAAGGTGGAGCAGGGTAGTGTTGATGAAGGTGGTGAAGGGTAGGGAAGGTTGGGCAGGGTAGGGAAGGTGAGGCAGGGTAGGGAAGGTGGGGCAGGGTAGGGAAGGTTGTGAAGGGTAAGGAAAGGGGGGCAGGGTAGGGAAGGTGGTGAAGGGTAGGGAAGGTGGTGAAGGCTAGGGAAGGTGGTGAAGGGTAGTGAAGGTGGTGAAGGGTAGGGTAGGTTATGAAGTGTAGGGAAGGTGGTGAAGGGTAGGGTCGGCTACTGGTGAAGAGGAAGGTGGAGCAGGTAGTGTAGGGTACTGGTGATGAGGTGGTGGAGCAGGGTAGGGTAGGCTACTGGTGATGAGGAAGGTGGGGCAGGGTAGTGTAGGGTAGGGGTGGTGGGGCAGGGTAGGGAAGGTAGTGTAGGCTAGGGTGATGGGAAGGTGGTGCAGGGTAGGGAAGGTGGGGGTGGGTAGGGTAGGTGGGGCAGGGTAGGGTAGGCTACAGGGTAGGGAAGGTGGGGCAGGGTAGGGAAGGTGGGGCAGGGTAGGTAAGGTGAGGGTAAAGGTGGGGCAGGGTAGGGAAGGTGGTGAAGGGTAGGGAAGGTGGTGCAGGGTAGTGAAGGTGGTGGTGGGTAGGGAAGGTGGTGAAGGGTAGTGAAGGTGGTGAAGGGTAGGGAAGGTGGTGAAGGGTAGTGAAGGTACTGGTGAAGGGTAGGTGGAGGTGGGAAGTGTAGGGAAGGTGGTGAAGGGTAGGGAAGGTGGGGCAGGGTAGGGAAGGGACGGTGCTCAGTGGTTCATCCCGGGTGATGTCTGCTGAAGCACCTCAGCCTCCCGGGGCATTAATACTTCACTGTTCAGTGGAGATCACCAATATATATTTCCCGACCAAAGATCAAATTCACTTACGGGCTATTCATGCCCGTGCCATGCCTTGTAGTGGCTTAATCTTCATCAATCAATCAGTACTAATACGTAATGATGGACCACCAGTAAGTCACAGATGAGTCGGCTGATGTGTGTGAGTGTGAGTAGTGTGTGTGTGCTCGTTATCATAGAGGCAGACACACATGGGTGTCATGCCTGTGTATGTGAGTAGTGTCAGTCACAAACACAACTTCTGAAGCCTTGCCTCAACACCTCAGTATACTGGCACTGTGGCAGGTGATATGAAGCCGCACCTTACAGTCCACTCGGAGTGGGCTTCAGAGGCGTGGGGAGCTCATCTCTCACTCTACACCTTCATGAAAAAAGATATTCCTCAATTGTTTCGTATCAAATACAGGTAATTGCTTGCACTTAGCGTGTTCTGACGCACCTGACGCCTTGCCCTGCAACACAGCTTCATGATGAGAGAGCTGCAGCTCCTGCCACACAGCTTCATGATGAGAGAGCTGCAGCACCTGCCACACAGCTTCATGATGAGAGAGCTGCAGCACCTGCCACACAGCTTCATGAGGAGAGAGCTGCAGCTCCTGCCACACAGCTTCATGAGGAGAGAGCTGCAGCACCTGCCACACAGCTTCATGATGAGAGAGCTGCAGCTCCTGCCACACAGCTTCATGATGAGAGAGCTGCAGCTCCTGCCACACAGCTTCATGAGGAGAGAGCTGCAGCACCTGCCACACAGCTTCATGAGGAGAGAGCTGCAGCACCTGCCACACAGCTTCATGATGAGAGAGCTGCAGCTCCTGCCACACAGCTTCATGATGAGAGGGCTGCAGCTCCTGCCACACAGCTTCATGAGGAGAGAGCTGCAGCACCTGCCACACAGCTTCATGATCAGAGAGCTGCAGCTCCTGCCACACAGCTTCATGAGGAGAGAGCTGCAGCACCTGCCACACAGCTTCATGAGGAGAGAGCTGCAGCTCCTGCCACACAGCTTCATGATGAGAGAGCTGCAGCACCTGCCACACAGCTTCATGATGAGAGAGCTGCAGCACCTGCCACACAGCTTCATGATGAGAGAGCTGCAGCACCTGTCACACAGCTTCATGATGAGAGAGCTGCAGCACCTGCCACACAGCTTCATGAGGAGAGAGCTGCAGCTCCTGCCACACAGCTTCATGATGAGAGAGCTGCAGCACCTGCCACACAGCTTCATGATGAGAGAGCTGCAGCTCCTGCCACACAGCTTCATGATGAGAGAGCTGCAGCACCTGCCACACAGCTTCATGATGAGAGAGCTGCAGCACCTGCCACACAGCTTCATGATGAGAGAGCTGCAGCACCTGCCACACAGCTTCATGATGAGAGAGCTGCAGCACCTGCCACACAGCTTCATGATGAGAGAGCTGCAGCACCTGCCACACAGCTTCATGATGAGAGAGCTGCAGCACCTGCCACACAGCTTCATGATGAGAGAGCTGCAGCACCTGCCACACAGCTTCATGATGAGAGAGCTGCAGCTCCTGCCACACAGCTTCATGATGAGAGAGCTGCAGCTCCTGCCACACAGCTTCATGATGAGAGAGCTGCAGCACCTGCCACACAGCTTCATGATGAGAGAGCTGCAGCACCTGCCACACAGCTTCATGATGAGAGAGCTGCAGCTCCTGCCACACAGCTTCATGAGGAGAGAGCTGCAGCTCCTGCCACACAGCTTCATGAGGAGAGAGCTGCAGCTCCTGCCACACAGCTTCATGATGAGAGAGCTGCAGCACCTGCCACACAGCTTCACGAGGAGAGAGCTGCAGCTCCTGCCACACAGCTTCATGAGGAGAGAGCTGCAGCTCCTGCCACACAGCTTCATGAGGAGAGAGCTGCAGCTCCTGCCACACAGCTTCATGAGGAGAGAGCTGCAGCTCCTGCCACACAGCTTCATGATGAGAGAGCTGCAGCTCCTGCCACACAGCTTCATGAGGAGAGAGCTGCAGCTCCTGCCACACAGCTTCATGATGAGAGAGCTGCAGCTCCTGCCACACAGCTTCATGATGAGAGAGCTGCAGCTCCTGCCACACAGCTTCATGAGGAGAGAGCTGCAGCTCCTGCCACACAGCTTCATGATGAGAGAGCTGCAGCTCCTGCCACACAGCTTCATGATGAGAGAGGGAGAACATGCAGATGAGTGCAACATTCACATTGACTTGGAACGTCAAGAAGAGTCGTGCATCTTGATTACGAAAAGCTTTATATTAATTTGGGCTTCAGTTCCCTTTATCTGCCCCCTAGAGACAGTGGACTTTACCTGCAAGTGTCTACACCTTTGGCCATTAACAAGGAACATGGCCAATATTGTTGGTGAGAGCTTGCAAAGAGTTGTTATATTGTATTGCTAATATTGCTGACACTTCCAGACACGTGAGTAACTATTCACTAACATATACAGCCGCAGCCACTCACGCCAGACATTTGCAGATTTTCCATTGGTTCTGACCATGCTAAGCTTACTGAAGGTTAACACCAGTAGCGGCTACCATTAACCACTGACTGTGGTGGCGGCTACCATTAACCACTGACTGTGGTAGAGGCTACCATTAACCACTGACTGTGGTGGCGGCTACCATTAACCACTGACTGTGGTAGCGGCTACCATTAACCACAGACTGTGGTAGCAGCTACCATTAACCACTGACTGTTGTGGAGGCTACCATTAACCACTGACTGTAGTAGAGGCTACCATTAACCACTGACTGTGGTGGAGGCTACCATTAACCACTGACTGTGGTGGCGGCTACCATTAACCACCGACTGTGGTGGAGGCTACCATTAACCACTGACTGTGGTGGCGGCTACCATTAACCACTGACTGTGGTGGAGGCTACCATTAACCACTGACTGTGGTGGAGGCTACCATTAACCACTGACTGTGGTGGCGGCTACCATTAACCACTGACTGTGGTGGCGGCTACCATTAACCACTGACTGTGGTGGAGGCTACCATTAACCACTGACTGTGGTGGAGGCTACCATTAACCACTGACTGTGGTGGCGGCTACCATTAACCACTGACTGTGGTGGAGGCTACCATTAACCACTGACTGTAGTGGAGGCTACCATTAACCACCGACTGTGAAGGCGGCTACCATTAACCACTGACTGTGGAGGCGACTACCATTTACCACTGACTGTGGTGGAGGCTACCATTAACCACTGACTGTGGTGGAGGCTACCATTAACCACTGACTGTAGTGGAGGCTACCATTAACCACTGACTGTGGTGGAGGCTACCATTAACCACTGACTGTGGTGGAGGCTACCATTAACCACTGACTGTGGTGGGGGCTACCATTAACCACTGACTGTGGAGGCGGCTACCATTAACCACTGACTGTGGTGGAGGCTACCATTAACTACTGACTGTGGTGGGGGCTACCATTAACCACTGACTGTGGTGGCGGCTACCATTAACCACTGACTGTGGAGGTGGCTACCATTAACCACTGACTGTGGTGGCGGCTACCATTCCCCACTGACTGTGGTGGGGGTTACCATTAACCACTGACTGTGGTGGGGGCTACCATTATCCACTGACTGTGGTGGGGGCTACCATTATCCACTGACTGTGGTGGCGGCTACCATTATCTACTGACTGTGGTGGCGGCTACCATTATCCACGAACTGTGGTGGTGGCGGCTACCATTAACCACTGACCATTATCCACTGACTGGTGGGGCTACCATTATCCACTGACTACCATTACCATTAACCACTGACTGTGGTGGGGGCTACCATTATCCACTGACTGTGGTGGCGGCTACCATTATCCACTGACTGTGGTGGCGGCTACCATTATCCACTGACTGTGGTGGCGGCTACCATTAACCACTGACTGTGGTGGCGGCTACCATTAACCGCTGACTATGGTGGAGGCTACCATTAACCACTGACTGTGGTGGAGGCTACCATTAACCACTGACTGTGGAGGCGGCTACCATTAATCACTGACTGTGGAGGCGGCTACCATTAACCGCTGACTGTGGAGGCGGCTACCATTAACCGCTGACTGTGGTTCAGATCTCCAGACAGACATTCCTTAAAGTCCTCCAACAAAACGAGCTGCTCGAGTTCTTCTTTCGTCTTCACCTTCCGAGAAGCACACCACTCCTGAAAAAGCCGTTCCTTGATGGTCGCAAACTCGGTGAACGTGTACTCCGAGGTCTTCTTCAGGTTCCTGAACTTCTTTCTGCCTATAAGCCTCAGGCACCAACTGGTAAGCCATGAGTACTACCTTCTTCACCTTGTTGTAATCACTGGAGTCATCAAGGGACAACGTGGAGTAGGCGACTTGGGCCTTCCCAGTCAAGACGAACTGTATCATGATGGCCCAATTTTTCCTTTGGCCAATCCAAAGAGGCAGCAACCTTCTCGAAGGCTGTGAAGAACTTCGAAACTTCCTTTTCGTTGAATTTAGGGGCCATCTTTATATTCCTTACCGGATCGAAACTACTTGTTTCAGTTGTTTTCCTCTGACCACCTAATCGCAGCACTTCTAACTCGTGTTGTCTTTCCTTCTCCTTTTCTTCCCTTTCTCGTTCTTCTCTCTCTCTCTCTCTCTCTCTCTCTCTCTCTCTCTCTCTCTCTCTCTCTCTCTCTCTCTCTCTCTCTCTCTCTCTCTCTCTCTCTCTCTCTCTCTCTCTTTTCTTCTCTTTCTCGCTCTTCTTTCCTTTCTTGTAATTCTAAACGCTTCATTTCCATTTCCTTCTCTTTCATAGCCATTTCCTTCACTATTTCCTTTTCTTTCATTTCTCGTTCTATTTCTAACTTCTTCCACTCTATCTCACGATTTATTTCTAAAGTACGCATTTTTACAGTTAGAAAACTTATATTCAGTTCACCTGCATCACTTTCACCGTCACTACCCTTATCTTCCTTTTCAGTGGCAACTACCACCTTACATTCTTTTGTACTCTGTGCCTCGCTTTCCTGCTTCTCCCCGGCCTTCAAATGTTTGTGAACCTTTGACAAGATCTCAACACGGAAATCACTTTCACGTATTTTGATCTCCAGATAGGCACTCACTAGCACGAGTTCTTGCTTTCCCAGATATTTCAATCTGGCAAGACAGTCCTCGTTGTTCAGAAAGTCCTGAACATCATCCAGATCCTCAATGGTCACTTTCTCCGCCATTGTCACTTAAGTGGTGCACGAACACTTAACACACCGCTTCACTTGAGCACTTAACACACCGAGCACCGCACTCGCCAATATTGCACTTAATCACACCGAGCACCGCACTCGCCAATATTGCACTTAATCACACCGAGCACCGCACTCGCCAATATTGCACTTAATCACACCGAGCACCGCACTCGCCAATACTGCACGTGATCACACTGCACTGAACAGGACGTATAACGTCCTAATAATTACAAACAGGGGAATTATTCACAGGGGATTGCACTATGTCACCACCCCTGTCAAACATACTTGACAAGGGGTCGGATCCCGCTGGGGATGCCAATTATGTTACGGCCCTACTGGGACGCAACCGGGTTCTTTTCTGATGGTAATAGTTTTTTGGGTATCCGGCCCCAAGTTAGTAGAGGCTTTCAAGGGGTGAGCTCCGTAACACAAGTAAAATCAACGGGGAAGGTACATTAAATACACAAGTATACTAATTTATATATATATATATATATATATATATATATTCCTTTAATTTACATATGGTGGTGGTAAAGTCACAAAAGGGAATTATTACTACACAGTATATACATCTTCGTCTTCCTCTGAAGACACTGATCACTTGTCGATGCTCACTCTGGGTAGCCTTTCCTGGTTTCCTCTTCCATGGCCCAGAACCCACGATGAATCCACCCTGGCCACAGGCCAGCCGAATCACAATCCCACTGGCTGCCTCTTCGTGATTGCCTACAACCACAGTCCAGCCTGTAGCTGGCAAGTATTAGTCAGCCTCGCTGTTAGGCCACTTCACGACTAATACTAGGGTTGCGAGCCCTAGGCAGGAGCCTCGTGTGACTCGCTGATCACTCTCCTCGGTCGGCAACGCAGTGGGTGGTCTCTTCCACCAGCCAGCCCCGGATATGGCGAATCCCGCCACTGCCACTCCTCAGGTAGGCAATCATACACTCAGCAGAGTTCGTCTGGGGGTGGCTCACAGCTTCTACAAAGCAGAATGGTGAAGAGACCTTGGAGTCCTTGGGTAGACTGATTCAACGTACCTTCTCAACCGTCCTAGGTTGACTCTGAAAGTAGACACGTCATCAGTACTGGGGACACTACATGGGACCACTAGGAAACATCACTTACTGGCTGACATAGACGTACACCCTGCTGCTCAATAGATGGCGCTGCTTTTCTAAGCGTCACCTCACCAGAGGTCAGCGCCAGCTACCTCACGAGCCGACTAGGACAAGAATCTAGCCTGTCTAGCTGGTATATCCTAGGCACAACTAAATGGCGTCGTCCGTTTGGAGGGGGTTTCGGGAGCGGACTCACAGATGGCATTGACGTCATTGCTCCGTGCTCTGACGATGGACTCGGGTTCGTAACAACAATAAATTCTCATTGCTGCTCACGTTATTAAACTTGATCCTACTGGAATTCGATCCGTATTTAATACTAGCTGTACCCGGCCACGCATTGCTGTGGTTCAGCAGTGCATGTACGTTGCTGAGACACAGCAACCTTCCCCTGTCTCCCAGTCCACCCCTCGATTCCCCCTTTCCCTGTCCCCTTGTCCTCCCCATCATTTCCCCCCTCCCTCCTCCAACCCTTTGTCCTCCCCACCATCGCCCCCCCCTCTACTGTCCCCTGGTCCTCCTAACCATTCCCCACTCCACCAGCCCCGTGTCCTCCCCACCATCTCCCACTTACCGGTCTCCTCATCCTCTCTCCCATTCTGCCCTTCCCCATCCTCGAATTGAAATCAAAATCTATGAAAATAAATCGAATTCTATGAAAATTCCATTTATCAATGAAATCGGAAAAATTGAAAAGGAATTGTATCATATTTAGTATAGCGTGTGTTGCTCTTACGTGAAACAGAGGGTGCTGTTTTTCAAAAAAGAATATTTTTACCTATCACAGGTGTGGCATCTATATTTATACTAACGAAATGAACAGTATGGTAAACAACACAGATCAATTCCAACACCATGTCACACAAAATAATTAAATCAAAATGAAAATAAATCGAAATTTATGAAAATTTAATTTCTCAATGCAATCAGAAACATTGAAATGCAATTGTAACATATTTAGTATAGCGTGTGTTGCTCTAACATGGAACAGATGGCGCTGTTTCATAAAAAAAAATGTTTTTTCTTGTCACAGGT